AAAGAGCTGGGCTCCTTGCAGCCTTCTCTGTGTTAGAAACATCCTTTGAGGCAGAAGAGAAGACTGTGTGAGGATCAAATATACTCTCAGAAAATTTACATGTCTACAGCAATTTCTATTTTCAGGATCTTTGAAGAACAGTAGCACGACACACCGGATCTGTTCCGTCACGAAGTCTAGCACTGGTGGAAATGTTAGGCTTTCTGAAACAGTTGCCTTTGGGAGGACAGGAGGATGGAGCATCCTTCAGGGTGCGGTCTCAGGAGGCCCACAGAGGACCGATGACCCTAGGGTGCAGCCCCTGATAGCTCGGGAAAGATGCAGCAAGTGAGCCCCGGTGACTCGGTTGTTCTGCGGGGACAGCCAAGCCTCTGCCACTGAAGTGCTTATCTTTGGCATTGTCCCGGTGATCAAGTCAGAATGGCTCAGCAATTGGCAGTCTGTATGAAAAGAGAATGAAAAAAGAAAATATTAGGGCAAGTGACTAGAAATAGAAGAAAACATAGACTTCAGCTGACCAGAAAGGTCTGTGTTGATTACATCCAGAGCAGCCTAAGCCATGTATTTTCAGCTAAGTGCGGGGAGATCCCTTCTGGATATTGGCATGGCAGGTACTGTAGTATAAATAACATTTTGTCTGTCAATCTAGGTATCTTCTTTAAGTCATCCATACCTTTGCCTCCCTCCTGTGCACCAGCCCTATCTACCTTCCTCTCTTCCTTGATGAGCACCAACGACAGACTGCCTTCAGCTACTTTCTCATTTCATGGGTCTTCGGACTTCGGTGACCATTTAATGGTTTGGGTCCAAAACAAGCCTTCCCCCCCCCCCAATAAATGTAAAGCAACTGTGTCCTCTCTTTCTTTCTTTCTTTCTTTCTTTCTTTCTTTCTTTCTTGAATATTACGTGTCATACCCGGCAACAAGGGAAAATGTAGCTCTGCAGCTTTTTGAATTAGCATCAGCAGGGCAGCAATCTTGCTTGTGGAAAAACTAGGAATAAAGAACACACAACGACCTTTCAGGAACTATCATTACTACTTGGAAAAGCATACAAATATCACATGTGAAAAGAACATTTGTTTAGGTGCGCATAGGCAAGGAGAGTAGATGCTAGGGGGTGCTTCTAAAGTAACGTTTATGTTTGCAATTAAAGGAGAGCTTTGAGAGAGAGAAAAACAGATTATTTTTTTTAAAAAAACATAAAGTGCAAGGGTGTTTTTTCCTCCCTCAGAACGAAGACTTGCCAATATATAAACATTTCAGAGAGAATTTTACACCACCTCATCTTTATGTCAGGCAGCATTTAATGGTTGAGTGATCTCCTGCCCCGAGACTTGGCAGCTATTCTCCAGGGGCCGACTTTGAAGATTACAATGACAGTCTATCAGTGGATCTTTTCCAATATAAACTAGACTAGGACCATTTAAAATCAGTTGCTATCAACAAGTCAAATTAACTGTATTTATCTTAGAGGCTTTCCTATGAGTATTTTATAACAATGTGGAATTTTAATATCCAGAGGGGCTTTTCCTGTTGTTGGTGTGATTTGGGAATGTTCTAATTCACGTGATTAAGAACAATTTGCCTGATTTCTTTCAAAATTATGTGATTTGTAACATTCGGGTCCAATCAGCATCTAACTCGCAGTGCTCACATAACTTTTCCTGATTCCTGCTTTTTCCAGGTGGAAATAACGCTTCAGGATATCAACGACAACCCACCAGTATTCCCCACAGATATGCTCGATCTGACGGTAGAAGAGAATATAGGAGATGGATCTAAAATATTGCAGCTGACAGCCATGGATGCTGATGAGGTAGGAGCGTGGGTTTGTATTTGAATATCTGTGTTAAAAATGCTATTCTGGAAATACACATTTTCACCCGTTCCCTTTGTGAGAGCATGGCTTTGGGAGTCTTTGCAGTCATGCTTTAAACCGCGTCTGGCCCGTTCACAAAACTGTGTTCAGTATCATGGGGTCACGCAAACACACACAAGTGAGACAAATACTCTAGTACTTGAAGGCTGCTCACTGCTTTGAGTATAATAAATTAACTTTCTCCTAACATCTCTTAATGAGCGGTTCCACTAATGGCAAAAAATGCCCCACGTTTTGGTTTTAGGTGGTCTTGTTGGTATCGGCCTCATCATACACCATACCCGATGACTTGGCGAAGGTGCTGGGCTGCCCAGCAGTGGTAAAGACTTATTGACATTGAGCTTAAGACCACAGCTTGAGATCTAAACTGACTTTGAAGCAGAGATGTAGTTGAGCCTGATTTCAAGGTGTGCATTAAAATTAATGTGAGATGAGCCTTGGAGAACAAGAAAACTTTTGATAATGCCCGCTTGCCCTTTGACTAGAACTACTTAATATTATCCTTTCCTACAGAAGGTTTTATTTCACCAAAAGGAGGGGAAAAGAAATAATGCTAAAATACATGCTCTGTAAGTGAACCAGTTTGCAAAATCATTTTACCTGCTTAGATTCATTACTGTGAGGATGCTGCAACTAAGGAGTTATTAAGAAATTAGCAAAAACCTTTGAGCAACTGATGTTAAACATTTGGCCAGTTGGGTTAGTGAGGGGTATTGCAGTCATCTTGTATGCATCAGGGAAATAGATCCACGTATAATTTGATGTATTTGTTTCTTTTGTAATGAAAGTAAGTTATGAGAATGTTAATCGTATTGTTTCATTCACTTGAACTGATTCTTTCCACTAGGGAAAGGCCTAAAAAGTCAATATAAGCATGCAAAGAAGTTTGTGTTGTCATTAAAATATAGGGTTACACCTGACAACAACTAGCAATTCTTGCATTCAAATAATAAGGTAATTCAATCCCCTCCAGAGAATTTTATTTCTGGCCTTTTATGTGTTAGCTTGGTTGGTTGTCCTGTGATTGTTAATTGATGTACTTAGTCTTACTACTACATGGGGAACCAGCAGAACACCCTCAGAAATGGTATGAATGTGATTATGAACTTTTTGTTCTTTCCTTTATTATCTGGGAGCAGCCTGACATACAGACAAAAAGTAGGATTTTGGAAAGGTGCATATCTGTAACAAAAACCGTAGCTGTTTGTCGTGAGTTTGGGAAGAAGTAAATATTGACCTACAACTCTCTGCTGTGATATGGCAAACAGAGATCTAAGATTTTAGCAATATATTATGGTCCGGCCTCTTTTTGACCATTCCTAAACTGCACCTAATATGTCATCCGTTCTGAAACGCTCCATCCAGTGGGAATTGAATTGTTGCCTTAGACAGAAATCAGTCAATCTTTTTATAAAAAGGGATGATTTCAATTTCCCTACCAGAACATTTGTAACTCAGACCCTTTACAAAGAGTCCAAAATTTTTTAGCAAAGCGCAGTTTGGGGTCAACATACTTGCCTTTCCCCATCCCTCTTTGAAGCTGAAGGCACGCTCCTTGTTTTTCATACAATATTCCTGCAACGTTATGCTTTTCTGGCTTCTTTCTTTGCACATGCAGCCTATGTACGAGGCTCAATAAAACAGCATGCTGCTTTGCTGCATGCACAAGTGCTTTCAGAATCAAAGTTTTAGATTAAAAGGGTAAGTGACAGAACCCTTAAAACTCACGGCTGAGTTGTGTACAAGAACCCCTCTTAGAAATATTTTAGAATGGTAATATGAAGGCAGCAAATTTCAAACCCTTGTCGGTTTGTAATGACATTGTAGAGATCTGAGAAAAGATGTAAAGACATTCTCTAGGTACTAAGTGGTACCAAAGGCTTTAACAATTATGACAGCTTCTAGCACTCTGCAACTTTTTAAAGTCAGTTGTCAATGGGAAATTTCTGTACGGCTTTTTGATAGGTTTGATATCTGTATTTTGGTTTGTGTCTCACCTGACTCATGTAAAGTTACTAATTTGATTAAACCAGCATCACACGTGGCTGCGGTTTTAGCTGCACTCTCTTAGGAGGACGCTGGCTAGTCAAACAAGTGATGAGGAATGTGATGACCTCTGAAATCTTAAATTCTCATCAGATGTTTTTGCTAAGCTGCACAATGGCAGGAAAGCGTGTTACATCCCCCAGGTACACCTAAGCACACAGATGCTGTGTGCGCTGAAGCACCGCATGCAGCAATTCAGGGCTGGGCACCTGCAGAAGCTTGTTTTCTTTCTAAATTTCATTTTATCAGTTAGCTCAGTCCGCCTCTTTGAAACAACACTCCAAAGAAAAAGTTTGGCACGAGGCACTCTCATAAGGTCAGGTAACCAATGCTTGTCTCTCATCTCACAAATAGAGGCGGGCGTTTATCTCTGTTAATTTGCTTTTTTAGGCAAGAGTGTTTGAACCAGCTATAGAATTTCTTTCTCCCTGATCTCTTTGATCTGTTGTTCATGACAGAAGTGTAACCTGCATGCCAGCTATGAAACCCACGCACTAGTCTGGCACTGGGGGAGGACACCGTAAATATCTGCTCACCCACCAAAACGCGTTGCGGGGCATGGTCAGCACCTGGGGTATAGGTACATCCGATGCGCGAGGTTACCAAACCCTCAGTGCCCTTAAGCCCCTCTTCAAAAAAGGAGGACGTCGTCCCAGGATCTTAGGGCTCTTTCTGTTTTCCCTTAAAGACCAACGTCAGTCTGCTAAGAAGCAAAATTTATAGCTGAGTACTGGCTTTTGGGGGAAATGTCACCCAAGCTGGTGCTTATATCCCCTGGACCACACTCTGGCTGCAGCATCACTGCATGACCCTATCCCCAGGAGGGGGATGAACGAACAAAGATCAGGCAGCATCCCTTTCTCTAGGAAACCTCAGTACTCCTCAGAGCTAAGACCGGTAAGGCAGATTGATTCTGTTGCTAATAATCAGTGATACAGAGTGGACGCAGGTGACTTTTCTCAGTGTTTGTGATGGGCAAGGGCTGAGGCAAAATGCACTGTGTCAGTGGTTTTCGAATGGAAGTGTCTGTATTTTTTTTCCTAAGTTTTAAGTTGAATCTTTAGGGTGGAAAAAAAAAAAAAGGTGATCATTTTTCTATGTAAAATTACTTTTCCTTCATTTTCCTTTTAACCAAAATGCTCAAAGTCCATATGAATCCTTTTTTTCCAAGAATGAATGAGATGCTTTGTTTGACCCAAAAGCAAATGCTCTTAACTTCCAGCACAACCCAAGAGATCAGAACTGTGACTTTAATGACATATGATTTGTCACTTTGGGGCTGTTTATTTACAGGGATAAATGTATTTCCGTGCAGAAACTGGCCTTTGAGGGGCTGCTGCAAGCATGGCTCTCGTGAGTTTCTCCTGACCGGGAGCTGCAGCTCTTGCCGTGCGTGCTGGTGCAGCGTGGCTGCCCCTGGTCCTCCCTCCTTGCCTTCCTCCTCCTCCTCCTCCCTCCATCCCACCTCCAGAGAGCGAGAAGGGCAGAGCTGATCCCACCGGCAGGGATTTAATTTAAACTTTTTAACATAAAACAAAAAGAATAAACACTGATCCCTGTCAAGAGGGAAGATGTTACACTGTTCAGTGATGGTGGCTTGAAATTAAAACAGGTATCAGACCTATATGGTATTGACTGGATGCGATCCTTTTATGAACAGTGGAGCAAAAAGTATCTGGGTAATCTTGTCATTTCACGTCTCATAAATAAAAACTGTGTGCGTATGCATCTTTACTGGAGGACTGAAGCAGGGACTGGGGCAGGAAGGCTGTTTATTAAAGGAAACTGTTCTGAAAAATATTCACCAAGTGCAGTTACTGGAATGATTCTCGTCTTACTGAAAATTATGATGTGGTTTTCCTGGCAAATACCTTGATTTGACCACTTCTGTTTTTACTTAGGGAGCCAATGCCCTCGTCACATACACTATTATCAGCGGTGCGGATGATAGCTTCCACATTGACCCCGAGTCAGGAGATCTGATAGCCACCAAGCGCCTGGATCGGGAGCGCCGCTCCAAGTATTCCTTGCTGGTTCGTGCTGATGACGGCCTGCAGTCCTCAGACATGAGAATAAACATCACTGTTAGCGATGTTAACGACCACATCCCCAAATTCTCCAAGCCAGTGTATTCCTTCGACATCCCGGAAGATGCAACTCCAGGTAAATAGGAAAGATGATGCTGAAGGCGGCTGTTGGATGGGGTGGAGAAACAGAGGGAGTCACATCATGCTGAAAGTGTGCTTGCTAGGAAATCTGTATCATTCCTGAGGTCAAATTTCATTTCAAGGGAAACAGAGAAATGGTTGCCACCCAAATAAAGCCTAGATGCAGGGTAGGATGCCTGTATCTCAATGGAAGCCTCTGAATGTGACTACTTAAAAAATAGCAAACAGAAAAGTAGGAGGAGGAATGATTTACAGGATACAAACAGTATAACCTACTGCTGGTGTTGATTTAGTGAGCCATCGTCAGTGAATGTGATGTACAGCGCTTAATTCATCAAGTGTAGGATCACAAAACGGATGACCATTAAGCAGCTAGTAATACACTGATTCCTTAATAATGTTCCCGACACGCACTCACTTACTAACCCGAACGTCGTATTTCCTTGATCTTACCTTTGAGTCTTGTTTTTGACAAGGTTTTTGTAGAAAATCTAGCCTTTAGATAATTAATTCTGGTTCCTAAATATGATCACCGACCTCTTAAGCCGTTTTCTTCTTTTAAAGCTTGTTTCTTATGCAAGAATGTTTGGATGTTTCAAAGTTAGGTCGTAAGCTAGAAACTATTTAGACCAAGAAAAAAGTTTTCAAAAGCTGTGCTATATTATATGTCTCCAGATGAGAAATTAGTATTTCTCGCAATAAATAGTTTCCAGTATTTTATACAGAGCGCTGGTATAAAAGCAGTATCTGCTGGAATTAGTTACTGAAGCATCTCAGAAACTTGTTCTAAAACATGAATAAACAAAGGAGATGTAAATGACACGGTGATAGCTTTCGAGCTTTTATTAATGCTTTGACTTAAAAGCGTGGGAGGCCGAGCTTGGGCCAACCACCGTTACCCCACTGCCTCCAACCTTTGCACTCTGTCCCACAGTCCCAGTCCCAAAATTCAGCGGTGTTTTGAATTAAAGGATTACAGCGCAATCAGCTGTGCCTCAGGAATCTGATCTGGAAGTAATCGAGACATCTGTGCAGCACGGGGCGGTTTGGTTGCTGATCCCCAGCTCTGCTCTTCTCTCTTGTCGCTATCCCAGAGACCGATCCCCGTTCCCCTTGCAGTCTGGCGTTTGGGATGGGGAATTGTACCTTCCCGGGGCCTCAGCGAGGCTCTCTGCCGAGATTCCCTGACCCCGCTGTGCTGCGGGCTCGCTGGAGGGCTTCATAATGCCATCCGGCTTCGGGACAGCCTTCTTCACCAATTAACGCACAATCACCAACGTTAAAGCACGAGGTAATCAAACGGATGTAAAAGACACCAGCGTGTTCAGCTGGATTAAAGGAAGTTGTAGCACTATTCTTCATTCCAATGATAAGCAGTTTTCGTTGTCACGTTGCTCAAAAATAGTTAACTGTGCTGCACACATGTAATTCATCTGGTTCCATGGAAAATAAATTAAATGATTTATTTTCTTGGAAACGAGCTGATCTTAATTATAATTAGTGTTCGAAATACTAAAAAGTGACACTTAATTTCCAAACTTTAGTAAGATAGGTCAGCCGTGCGAACGCAGCTATGCAGAAATGAAAACAATGGCACGAATTCACAAGGAGTTGAATTTCAGAAAACACTGAAGAACGGACCCCTATAAGGTTTCTAGTTCTCTAACCGCAGTTACCCTGCAAAGGCACTTTTTCAAAAAGTAGAGCTGGGATATTTGGTATGTACTGACATTTCAGTTTCTGCATTTCGAAAGAAATATCTAGAAGGTTTCAAACTTGTATTTGTCTGTGATAAGGAAAGGGTCCTTTGAGTCACAGAAAGAAGATACCTAGCAGGAGAAAAGGTATTTTTGCCCCAGTTGATATCTAATTGGGACATCTTCCCATTTAAAGATAAAAACAAATATTCCTGGCCATTTCCTGGGGTTTTTTTAGTAGCCCTTTAAAATAAACATCATACTGAATATTATTCCTTTCAGCTTTGAAACACCTTCCACAGTAGTTACTCATACAATATTCAGGCTCAAACTTCTACTGGCAGATACCTCTTACTCTGCAGAGCTGCTTGATGACGCGCTGGCTCTGACCACGCCAGTGAGCTGCCTTTTGCAAGTGCCTGATTTTGCTGTCCTTTCATGCTGTGGGCCTTCTTAGCCACTGACGATGACTCCGGTGTCAACGGGGAAATCACGTACACTGTAAGTGAAGATGATGAAGAGGGTATCTTCTTCCTGAACCCTGTTACCGGAGTCTTCAACCTGACTCGCGCACTGGACTACGAAGCGCAGCAGTATTACATTCTTACCGTTCGCGCTGAAGATGGGGGAGGCCAATTTACCACCATCAGAGTGTACTTCAATATATTGGACATCAACGATAACCCGCCAGTGTTCAGCACGACCTCATATAGCACGTCTTTGATGGAGAACCTGTCTCCAGGATCCGCTATTCTCAACTTCAGTGTCACTGACGCGGATGATGGTAGGCATTTCCTCATATTCTGTGTCTCTGATGATAAATACGTATTTCGCCTTAGCGATGTTTCAGAAGACCTAGTAGAAAGGGCAAATTAGGGCTATCCTTAGGATGCCATCATATGCTTAAATTCACTGCATGCTGTGTAAATAGAAGTTATTTTTCTCATATTTCACACTAGGTTTAAGCAGGTGGTTTCTTCCTTGTTTTTATTTGTGGTAAATTAAAAATACAGTCAAATACTCCTTTTAACTGCTGTTGTGGAAATGAGTTGCAGAGCTGTATTTTACCTAGAGTATGTTACAGCAGTTGAACACCACGATTTCTCCCCTGGTGCTTAGGTTGCACATTTAAATTAGACCTAAGTGTTCTTTCAGATTGCTTTTTTTTTTTTTTCTCTTAAAGTGTATAATATATTCTAAATAAGGTTCTGGCCATATGAGACGTCATCTGCAATCATCTTAAATGTGCAGTAACTTTTAAGTGTATCATGAAGAGAATTGTGATCTATAGGGTATTGACAGTAGAGGTTAAAAAAATTGATTAAAAGAGATCATGGGAAAATTTCTCTTTAAAATAAGATTTAATCTTAGGATTATTTATGGCATCTAGAAGGTGTTAATGTGTTGGAATGTAAAAGATACAATCTTCATAGCTTAAGCATTTTGCCATACAGTTTATGTCCAGTCAAGAGTAATTATTGAACATGGCCATAAAATACATAAAAATCATTCCGTAGTGTACTGCATTTTCTTAAGTGTCCACAGACATTAGTTAGGGTGGCTTAACATAAAGTTATTCATAACACTCGTACTGACTTTACAGGTGAAGGTTATTTTTGTGACATGTTAAGCAACCTTGTCTCCTCTCAACTTGACACTGGCTCAGCAAAGCCCAGGGAAATGTCTTGAACTGAAATGTGTGCTGCAAGCCCAAAGCACCTACATGCTTCGAGGAGCTCCAGTTTATGCATTTAAAATGACTGAGCTGGTCAAAATTATTCCGTAAAACAAGTTTTCCTCAGGAAATGCTGGGTTGTTGAACTCAAACATTTTTGTGGCAACATAAATTTTGTGCTGATGGATAGAACTTTCCATGGTAAAAATTGTGCAACTGGTTTTGAGATCAAACTGAGAAAGTGAGTAAGAAGAGATTCCGTGAGATAAGCCACCAGGTCAGAAGTTATAACTTGGTGATATTGGCTATTCTTGCATGGATCTCTCACCATCTTGTTAAAGCTCTTATTGGACGTAAACTAACTGTAAGTTTGAGGAGGAACTTGTGCTTGCATCATGCGTATCCAGCAAAGGGATTGTTCCTTCAGACCTGCAGATAAATGGGTTTGTGTCTAATCTATCTCCTCTTTTAGTTTCCTGTTAGGAGTACAACGCTTGGTTTCAAATCCTTTTCGAAGTTAATTTTGCCTAACCATTATGGGTCTGTTTTCCTTTTCTCTTGCACCTCATACATTAATTTCCATCTGCGCGCGGTGGACGTGAACTATATCATAGCACTGACATATCGTTTTACATTCATCAAGCACTCAATTAGGAAGGAAGCAAATGAGTATTTGAGGAGCCATGCAATGAAAAGTCAGATATCTTGCATTTTATATTTTCTGGCACACTTACTTTTCTAACGGGCTGGTTTTAAAATTAAGGGGGCAGGAATTTCATTCCAAGAGCTTGCCAGGGTGAGTTCCCCCATAGGACTATAACTTCAGCAAATGTTACAATCTACTGGTATTTCTGTTTCAAGCCCAAACTTGTTACCTTGTGTTGTCTTATATTTATCTAGAGTACAGAAATAGCTAGTCCTATACTCCCCTGCATGTGGCTCGCAGATAATGCACTCAATGCACACAAATATAGGTTTGTTCATTATTTATATGAGCCCACAGTTTGAAGGAGCTCTGAAAACATGTTGTTTTATAATGAGGTATGCCTGTTGTTTTAGGATAAACACTGATAAGAGACAAAAACATGGTGATAGTGAAACTGCTCCCATTTTCATTTTCTTGTTCAACACACCCTTTGGGAAATAGAAGCTGTTTATCTCAGCTTGGACAGTTTCATATACGGATGCATACTAAATATCAGCTACAGCTCTTCATTATTTACAGAGCAATAAAGAACTCAGTTTCTTTAAACACACTCATTTTGAGATGCAGATTTTAATTTTTTCCACATCGAATTAACAGGAAAGATCTCAGGGCAAAGCACATGCTTGTCTATTTGTTAAAAAGTATAGCAAGATATTCCTCTAGGCAAAAACTAGAAACAAGACCCTTAAAAGAGCATCATCGTGAAATTGGTGGCTCCACGTCTGAGCTCTCACTCAGAGTTTTATCAGATTAACCCTCAGATTAAATAAACCCAAAGCTGAGCAAAGAGGATGCCCCTGCATTCTCCCTAAGAAAAGTCCGGCTCCAAACCTGGGGAGAGGGGATGGATGAGGCACACAGTGCCAGCTTGGCGTGCTGTGTTTAAAAACGAATAGTTCATTAAGTGGCAGTCCTGGCTCCACTGATACTTAGGGAACTCTCCTTCTGCTTCACAGTTTAATCTATATAAGCATTAGCAGCACCGAAACCTAGAGAATACAGGACAAGGAATGAAAAGGTACATGGAGGTGAGATAAAGAAGAGCAAGCAGTAAGTTTTATTAGAACAAACACCACCATAAAAAAACGCTGGGGAAAAAAATAGTATTTTTTAAAAATAACCTAATTCCTACCCATCTCCAAAGTCAATTGACAAAAATCTTGAATTGCCAGAAAGCACTTAACTGAAAGCAGAAGACTTTCATGCATAGAATTAGTCATTTGAAGATACAGCTGAACAAAAAATAGACTAGCATTAAATTTTCACAGTGCTTCACTTGATCAAAGTAATGTAGAAACACGAATATCTGGCATATAAATGTATTAATTTATTTAATTGCATTAAAATATTTTGTCTTTCATGTTTGGTCCTATTTATTTTATAATTAGGTTCCTACAAGAGAAGAAGAGAGAGGGAAAGATGCCAATTAGAGTAGCCACTGTGTGGTAGACAAGTAAGACTGGAGTTCCCAAGTCTGAGCATAATCAACAGCAGAGATTAATAAATCTCACACAGGAATAATTTTATTATCAAAGCAATTCAGTCAGAGGGAAAAGAACTTCTGAATAAAAATGACAAAATGCACAGCAAAGTAATCAGCTACTTAAGCAGACAGCTTGGGTTCGTTGCATGAAAACAGTGAGTTTGAGAAGTAAAGTAGTAGCAAACGATCTGTTAATCCTAAATTGCAGTCTTTGACCCAAAACAAGAAAAAAGCATTTTAAAAATTATTTAAAATAGGAGTAAGACAGATATATAGACACATATATATGAGAGAAGACTCATTTCAATTAGTTTTTCCCAATAATTACTTGTGATTTACTGAGTGAAGTCTGGAGCTGAAGCCGTAACATACATTTGTTTCCTGCATGGCATATTTAAGGTCATTTCACAGCCTTGTCAAGATTCAGAGTGCATTTCCCTTACCACAATTATAAATCTCTCCCTTGACCATAATTGCTAGTTATGTTTCGATCATGAGGGCTGTTCATGTGATATTTTGGAATACCATACCGTATATGGGAAGCATACCTCTCCCCAGTATTCACTCTTGGCTTGCTCCAGCTAGGCTTGGGAGTTTCTAGTTGTGGCTTTTTTTAATTGAGTGGAAGAATTCATGAAATAATTACATTAATAATAATGTTGCTTACTTGAACTTGGGAGAACAGAGGAAAACAGCTGTTCAATGAGCAGCAGAACTATTGAGTCTTGGTTTCTGAAGGAAAACCCTTCAAATCCTTTGTCCCTAACCTTTGCGGATGGGGAAAAATTCTGCATGTTGCCACCATGAAGGTC